ATCCTTTGCAATCGCCTGAACCAAACGCATGCAGCAACCAAGAACAACAACATCATCATCAACAAGAATTGCGTGTATGTATGAGATCACACAGCGCTGGCAAGACTGTCCAATGCTACCAATACCACCCACTGCCACCACCTCTGTTGACCTCTCCGACTTACCCTGAGGAGGACGTGACAGACGCGTGGGCCGGCTTGAACGCTGAGCACGTATTGGCCTTTTGTTGTGGCGCGGCGAATGATGAATGCGCCGTTGGGCGAGGACGCAAGGTATCTGTTGGCACGTGCCTTGGACCACTTTAACCGACACCACGGCTGCTTGAACACATCAACCTGCGACACAGCAACAACAACAACAGCAACAACAGTAACAGCAACAACAGTAACAGCAACAACAACAACAACAGCAACAACAGTAACAGCAACAACAGCAACAACAGTAACAGCAACAACAACAACAACAACAACAACAACAGTAACAACAGCAGCAGCAGCAACAACAACAACAACAACAACAACAACAACAACAACAAACAACAACATGAAGGTTGCGTGAGTGGCTGCGCCGTTTTGTTTCCTTTGCTTCGTCACAGTGGATCAACCAGTAAAAAGCGCAGAGGGAGAACAACAAGCACGTACCTTCTTCGCGCCTTTTGATGCCATGTGGATGAACATGGTGCGCTCATTCTGCTCTGTTCCAGCAGGCAACACATGCTCTGCCACAATCACATCCCAATCTTCCTCATCCATGGCTGTGGCTTTGCGTGTGGCTTTGCTTCTTCGCCTTGTTGTTGCTTTGCTGTCTTTGACCTTCTCCAGCTCAGCCCGGGATTTGCGGAATAATTGTAATGTCACCCACAAATAATCCAGCCAAACAGCAACAAACAAGTGGAAGAAAGCAATGTGAAGAAGAACAAGAAGCGTGCATCTATGCATGCTTCTCCTCAACTTGTCTCCTTCCCTCAACTTCCTTCGATCTCCCTCAACAGTGTGTGCTTCCCCCAATCCACTGCCTCAACGCATCCCTCCCCCTTCCCCCAAGGCCACTCTACGCCTGCTTGTTGCCGCGAATGTGCCGCTGCGGCGAGTTTTGGCGGCGGTCACCGCGCTTGAGGCGGTACAGATACGCGGCACGACGCGCCTGCGCTCTTCGCGGATCGTTCAGCTCCGAGGGTTCCGGGCCTTGATACGTGATAGTGAATGTATGCGCGCGCGTGTGTGTGTGATTGAGTGTGAGTGTGTGTGTGTATGTGTGAGAGTGTGTATGTTAGTGAAGAGAAGGGCGGACAGAGATCCTCCGCACACGTTAAATGCAAAAGCACAACACAATGTCGAGAGCACACACACACACACACACAAACACACAAACACACAAACACACAAACACACATACATACACACACAAACACACAAACACACATACATACACACACACCTTGCCCTGCGAAGCGGTAGTGCTTGAGGATGTACTGCCGAATCGGAAGAGGCGGTGTCTTCTTGCGCCGATCCTTTGGAATCACCTAGCAATGCAACGTCACCACATGATGTCAGCGTCAGCAGCAGTCAATCAATCTGATCAATGCCCATGAGCAATCAACTCAAACAGTCAAACAGCTAACACACGCCTTCTCTGCTCCTCCTCCCCATCCTCTTCCTCTCTAACAATGCCATGCCCCTCCCAACGAACCAACCTTGCTGTACACGGCGTTTGGATCGTAATCCTCGTCGTGAATCTCAAACTCGCTATCATCGGTGTCGCTGCCGGCGTTGGCGTCCATCCACCCGCTCTCCCACAGCCCATCTACAATTCAACGCACGCACATGCAACATATTATCACTCGGTCGTGCCACACACACACACACACACACACACACACACACACACACACACACACACACACACACACACACACACACACACGCACGCACGCATGCACACACACACACACGCACGCACACACGCATCAAGACAAACCACACCCGTTCGTTCCACCCTTTTCTGACTCACCGCAAAGAACACGCGAGATGCGGGCGTACGCGCCGTCCTCATCATCATCCGTATCATAGTCATGCGCAAGCGCCTGAAGGAGTGAAAGCAAAACACACCCACATTGGCACATGAGAACGTGACTCCCCTCAACACACACACACACACGCACGCACGCACACACACACACACATGCACATGCGTCGCCCAGCCCTCCAGCCTCCTCCCTCTTTCTTGTTCCCCCCCCCCTTCCAAAAAAACAAAAACAAAGCATTTGACACACCTTTGAGGCCAGCCGCACGTCGGCGTACTGTGGCTCTTCAATGCCAGCTGTCTTTTCCTGCATTGCCATCTCCTTGTGCTTGCTCCCGTTGTCCTTTCCCTTCTTCTGCCGCCGCCGCCGCATCATCTTGGGCGATGTGCGCGGTTGTGCAATCTGCCGTGAATCGCGCATGGCAGCAGCACGGGCCAACGCACTCGTTCCCACCACCACGCCTCCCTCTGCATCATGCCCGTCATTGCCATGCACCGTCTGCCCCTGCGCGCCAACCTCAACTTCATCGTCGCCTTCGTCTTCGTCGTCACTGCTGAAGAAGTCAAAGTCACCCGTGTTGATGACAGCGTAAGCAGGATCGTCCTCCTCCTCGCTCGTCACAGTCAAATGGGACGCAGTGCTGCGAGTACTGCGAGTGCTTGCACTGTCATGGCCGTGCATCCACACACTGCTGCTTCTTGCACTGCTGGCGGTACTGCTGCTACTCGTAGTGCCACTCGTGTACGCGCTCGTGCTCTCCTCTTCAAACAGCAGCGACAACGCATCTGCGCGCTGCATGGGGCTGTCCGTCACACAGGCCTCCAGCCGGTAGTTGCTGCCCTTTGACGCCTTACTTGTGCCACGCAACATCGGCGGTTGAGAGGGCGGTGCTGGTACTTGCAGCTGTTGCTGGCGCCGTTTGCCCGGTTCGCCCACTTGCTCTCCGCCTGCGTCTGCCTCCTCATCCCTCCTCGCACCTGTCTCCTGCCTCCCGTCGTCTCCCATGCGCATGCTGGCCATCCTGGAGACGAGCTGTGCGGACAGCACGGCTGGAAGCGCTGCCTCTGCACCGGCAACGCTGATGGGGCTCGTCTCTGCCACGGCGCGCACCTTCGACAGCACCTTGCGGCGGCGGCGCGGTGACATCACGCTGGCGATGCTGTTCACTTTGCTCAGCACGCTGCGCACCGCATCCTCTTGCTGCTCGCGGGTTGACGAGGAGGAGGAGGAGGAGGAGAAGGGCAACGACGGCGTCGCGTCCGCAGCCTCTCTTGCTGCGGGCTCGCGGCGGAGGTGGGGCGAGTTTGGTGGCGTGTTCTCTGCACCTTCTGCCTGCTTGGTTGCGGCGCCACTGGTGCTGGCTGCGCGCGCGTGTCCGCGGCGATGACGACGGCGAATGCGTGGGCTGCCGGCGAGCGGCGTTGCGGTGCCAGATCGCGTGGTGGCACAGCCGCGTGCAGATGCCACGCTTGGGCTCGCCGTGCGCCGTGGCCCGAGGATATCCACCTCGCTGTCGGCGTCATCTGTGGAGGGAGCGGCGCACTCTCTGCTGCGGCGCGCTCTGCCACGTCCGCCGTCGATGGAGCATGATGACGATGCGAGGGACGACGATGATGCGCCACTCTCTGCGCGTGCCATGAGCGCGGAAAAATCCATAGACCGCAGCAGGCGGCAATGGGGCTCGCCTGCGCTGTGGCCAGCACGCGAGGGCCGGCGAGATGCACTCGCGCTGCCTTGCTGCTGCTGCTGCTGCTGCCTCTGCAGTGGCACGGGTGCGGAGGGACGGCGTGCACATGCATCGTGCATGGCAACGGCTCGCTCCTTTGCCTTGCTCATCTGCATCTGCATCTGTACGGGCGCTGACGGGCGACGTCCGCACGCATCCTGCATTGCACGCATGGCATGCATCGCGTGCTTGCTGCTGTGATGATTGCTCTGACGACGTCGCTGGCCGAGAAACTCGTCGCCCTCACGCCGCAGCTGCTGTACATTGTCGTACCGTACCGACGACTGCTGCTGCTGCTGCTGCTGCTGCTGCTGCTTCTTGTCGGCCGTTGTTGAGCGTGGCATCGTGCCGTTGTTGCTGTATCTGTTCATGCCAGGCCAGGTGGTTGTTCGCGCAACTCACCCGCAATGCTGCTTCGCGTGTGTGCGGCGGTCGTGCTCTTGGTTGGCGTCTCGCTGAAAATGAAATCCCATTCACGCTGGCTGGCTGACCGCCTGACTGACGGAGACGTGCGGTTCCTTGCTCAGCTGTCTGTCTGTTGTGTGTGTTGGGTTGTTGTGTGTGCTTGGTGTTGGGTTGTTGTTGGGTTGCTTGTTGGTTGCTTGTTGGGGTTGTGTTGTTTGTTGGTTGCTTGTTTGCTTGCGAAGCTTTTGTCTCCACAACCACGCGCACACCTCGCTTCTTGCTTGCTTGCTTTTGTCACCACAACAAATCGCAGCTTGCCTTGCTTGCTTGCTCGCACTTCTTGCGACGTCGTCGCATTGTCACCAACCCGTTTGGGTGGCGTTTTGCTTCGCTTCGGTGGCTCAAATGACCCGCCTTGAAGGTCAGGTTCAGGTAGGCAGCGACAATTAATGGGTGTCTTCAACGATTAATCTCTGGTCAGTGCGGTGATGTGCGTTTTGTTTTGATTTCAACATCGCGTCCGGTTTTTTGGCCGTTTTGTTTTTGTCAAATCACCGTCAATTTGCAGTTTGCGCGGCGCGCCTTTTTTTTTTTTGCCCCTTGCTTGCTTGCTTTGCTGTTTGCTTCTGGGCTGCGACCTTTTTGCCACTGACACCTTCCTCCCTTGTGGCTTGTTTGCTGGTTGTGTTTGACTACCATGCCCGCTTGTTCACCTTCTTCTTCTTCTTGTTCTGCGACGCTTGCCTCAATTGTTCTCAAGCTTAAATGGTGTATTGATCATTTCATGTCGCATGCACACATTCACGCACACGCACGGTGTTGTCGACCAACGAACAAGCCCCAGAGCCTTCACCGAACAAACTTCTACCTAACCAGCCAACCAACCAACCAACCAACCAGACAGACAAACAAAACATCGCGGACACCTAGAGCCATGACGCTGTTACCCTTTCCACACCACGTCAGGGCGAGTGAGATGCCGTGCGAGAGAGCGGGCGGAATTGAAGCGTGGGCTTGTTTCCTGCACGCTTCTGTCGCTGTTGCTGTTGTAACGCATGCAGCGACCGCCGTGCAGACGCAATCACATCACCGCCATCAACACCATCATCCGCCATAAGCTTTCCTTCAAAGGAACGTGTCCCCGCCTCGTCGCTGTTGTTGTCATTGGCGAGCGGCTTGCAGCACGCCTTGGTCGCTGCGTCAGTGCCGCAATCACTTTCACCACTGTCAACCGTCACCAAACCGGTTTTGGTCTTGCTGTTGTTGCTGTTGTTGCTGTTGCTGCTGTTGCTGCTGCTGCTGTTGCTGCTGTTGCCCTTGTTGCTATGTTGTGCCGTTGTCAGTGACAGCCGCGCCATGTCGCCCTGAACGGTGTCCTCATCTTGGTCGTGGACACGACCAGCGCTCACACGACACGTTGAATTGGCGGTGAACGCGCCCCTCCTGTCCAACGCCATCGGCGCCTTGATGTCGAAGAAGACCGGTTTGCACTCAGAGGATGATGCCGATGATGTGGTTGAGGATGTGGTTGAGGATGCCGTTGAGGATGAAAGAGACGGCGGCACCCAAACCATGCCCTGCACCCTGGTGTCGTCGTGTTTGTGGCTGATGGTGGCGCTGGTATCGATGGCGTGACGCTGATGATGGCGAACATCGTACAGCGCGACAGGCCGCAAGACGGGCGATGGCCGGATCAGTGGCGGCCACGCCTGCTGGTCCCTGCTCGCCGCTGCCGTTACCGTGGCGGGAGTGGTCGCTTGTGGTTGAACTGGTGTCTCCCTGGTCTCCGCGCCGTGTTGGCTTGTACCGGTCGCTTGCCGCCCAGTGTGTCCTTCGCTCTGCTGCTGGTCCATGAGGTTGCGCCGCACGATGATGGTGCGTGGTCGCCGGCGCCGTTCGTCGTCGTCGCCGCTGTCGCCCCACGAATCGAGTCGGCTGCGGGGCCGGAACTGCAGTGGCGAGCGCGAGCGGCCAGACCGCCGCCGAGTGCGCATGCTGCTGCCGCCTCTGTCGTCCTCGCTGTCCAGGCGCGCTCTCCTCGACAATGATGACGATGACGACGATGACAGCGCCGAGGACGATGGTGTGGCCCGGCGTGGGTGCGGCCGCACTCGTCGATGCCCGTTACGCGCAATGCCAATGGTGTGGATCATGCGAGGCGGCGAGTTGATGGCGTCCACGTGCCGTGGAATCAACGAGGGCCGTAACCTCGGCTCTGGCGTGGATGGTCGAAGTGGTTCCGCCATCTGCAAAACACACACACACACACACCATTGCACGTTCATTCATTCACATGAGACTTATGAGTGCCATCAAACCATCAGCACACACGCACACCACACACACGCACACACACACACACCTGTTGTTGAATGGGAGGACGTGCGGTGTCGAGAGTTGTGCTTGAATGAATCATGGCCCCTTGTTCCCCGTGGGCACCGCGCACGCGTGTGTGCGTTGTGGGTTGATTACAATGAAGAAGGACGCTTGGCTGGCGCGAAGAACAATGAACCCACAACAAACAAAGACAGAGAGTGAGAGAGAAATGAGACACAACGCACACGAACACACACACACACACACTGCCCGTTTTGGGTGTCCTCACCTCTTTCACTTTTGTCTGCACAACGCAAGCCACACATGACACACACACACACACACAATCTCTCTTCTTGCGCGTGTAAGCCCTGCTCACAGTCACAAACGAACAAACCCACGTGTAGCGTGACTTGTCGCCTCACCTGTGCTTGCTTGCGGCGTTGCTGGTGATGAAAGTCAGGTCGAGAGCAACAAGAGAGCGAGCAACACACACGCAAAGACTAGCAAACAAGAGAAGAGGAGGAAGTGCTGCGTGTCTGCGCGGGCGTGTTGTTGGATATGATGGGGCGGGACACACCACACGAACAACACCAGCTTGGCCTTGCTTTGCTTGCTTGCTTGCTTCTGTAAGCGCCTGCTGCTGCTGCTGTGAGGAAAAGACATACGAACGATTTTTCGCAGTGTGGAACGAAGAAAAGGAAAACAACAGTAAGGAGCGAAGAGAGGAATCGAGTCATGATGGTCGTGCCGCGTCTTTTTCAGATGCGTGCGTGCGCGGGTGTGTGGGGATGGTCGATGTGGTTGCACTCCCATCATCACCATCACCTCCCCTATATCCTCCATTCTCCACTCTCATCTCCATCGCTTACTCCGCCTCCTCTTCGCGTTTCCCCCCATCGGCATGCCCATTCGTCCACTGTGTATTGGTCAACAGAAAGCAGCAACAATGTCACGCGGGGCGCTCATGTGCACGTCACACGTCACACGTCGCGCCACAAGGCAACGCAACGCACATGTGTACCGCAATGCAAACACCCTTGTAACGAAAACAACAAACGGAGACCAACACACAGCTGCCGCACACACGCACACGGGGAAGAGCACAAACTAAAGCAATCGCCGAGTGCAGACAAGAGACATCCGCCACCACACGACAGCAACGTGGCCGGGTTGTGGAGAACCATGGTCAACGACAGTCAACCATAATCATGAATCCACAGCCATCGTCCACCTTGCTCTCCTGTAAGTGAACAGAGGATGTCGCAGGCAACACTCCACAACGCACAAAGGCCTGCGTGCTTCTCAGGGTGCAGATGTGAGGCAGAACAACAACAACAGAAAAAAAATCAAACGGCGTCAACGTAAAAGCTCAGCCATGCGCGCACCCACAAATCAAGTGCCACACTCACACACAATCACACAATCACACACAATCACACACTCTCACACGCACACACTCTCACACGCACACTCGCCCACACACCCACACACCCACACACTTCAACACACTCGCGCATACGTTCACACGTCTGAGTTGTCGGGTTCGAAGCGGCGTGTGATGGCCCGCCTCCAAAACCAGTAAAGGGTCACCACGGCACGGCAGCGTGTGTGCACATGCAGTGATGGGTTGCAAAAGGAGTTTGCAATGGACGCGGCGCCACCAAGGAGAGTCAGCTCACCAGTGGAGACACACGTTCCTTTGGGGAGCGAAAGCGGAAGCAATCATCAAAAGCCCAGCGGGTGGGCGATTGTGACAACAAGTGGGCGTGGCCCAGACATGCCGTCATTACATCTTCAGGCGGTGATGGGGGCGGTGGCGGTGGCGGTGGCGGTGGGTGGTGGCAGTGGTGAGGGCAGTGAGTAGACGCGTCGTGGTGGCAGGTGAGGGCGGTGGATGAGTGCGTGGTCGTGGTGGTCGTGGTCGTGGTCGTGATCGCGGCAGGGGGCATGGCGATGGCGGTGGCGAGCGAGGAAAACGACGTCGGGGCGTCGGACGAACGGGAGACCACAGAAAAGATACGAGAGGAAAGAAAAGTCACAGTAACGGGAAGAGGGGAGACAAAGAGGAACAAGAAACACGGACTTGTGCTGTGCAGTGTGGATGGAAACCGGTAGGAAAACGTGGAGAACATCAACGAAAGAGGAGGAAACGATGGGAGGGGTGGAAAGAGGGGGGGGGGGAAGAAGAAAGAAGAGAAGAGGTAGGTCGGAAGGTCAAGGAATGGGGTGAAAGAGGGGAACAGAAGAAAGGAGAGAAGAAGAGTGCGTGACAATGAATGACAGCACTCACTTCAAAAGAGGGGGGGGGGGATCCTGAAAGTGAAAGAGGGAAGGGAAAAAACGAACGAAAAAGAGGGGAAGGGGGGTTACGCTGAAGCAGGGTGCATGAATGCGCTTACTTCACACGTGGATTGACTTGTTTGGTTTCGTTTGGGTTGTGCCGTGCCGACCGACCCTACACCTGGTGAGGTGACTCGGGGTGCGGGGCGTACGGCGGTGAGCGCCTGATGTGGTGGTACCCGTGCGGGGGCGGCTCGTGTTTCGCCTGATACGGCGCACCATACGCCTGATGCTGCTGCTGCTGCTGCTGCTGCTGGTATTGCGGTGGTGGGGCAGGGGCGTGCAGGGGCAGGTGTTGCGGGGGCGGAGGCGGCTGGTAGTGCTGCTGCTGCTGCTGATGGTGGTGGGGCGGCGGCGGTGGCTGAGAGTGGCGCTGTGGTGCCCTCTCCGGCTGTTGGCGCTTGGGAGGACTGGCCGGCTGCACGTGCGCATGTGTGTAAGATGAAGAGGGGTTGGGGGGTTGGGGTGGACACGGGATGATGAGAGTGAGTGAAAGGAAGGGAGCATGACACAGACAGAGAGGCAAGCAGGCGTGGGAATGGTGGAAAGGACACACACGCACCACAGAAACACGCAACAATACAACACAACACAACGCAACACAACACAACACAGCACAAGCGCACCTCTGGCAGGTCGAGGATGTTGGCGAGGACGTTGAGGTACTCCTGGAACGAAGCGCGCAGCTCCTGCGAGCACTCGTAGTCCGGCGACAGCATGCGCATAAGCAGCCGGTCCACAATGATGCGCGCCTTGTGCACCAGTTTGAAATCCGCGGCACTCGCCGACATCATGATGGCCGTGTTGTTGTCAAAGTTGAAGAAGACCGGCATGTCCTCCGCGCTCGAGTTGACCGTCACGGGGTGCATGTGGTTGCCCGCAAACAGCGCCATTGTCAGCAACTGACACAGTGGTTTAGAGGTGGGTGGGGTATGATTTGGAGAGGAGGAAGGGTGGGAGTGAGCAAGAAGTTAGGAGAGGGGAGCAAGGTGGATGTGGGTGAGCGGATGCATTGCAGTACATCAGAAGCAATAAGACAATGCGTGTGCGTGTGCGTCTGTGCGTGTGCGTGTGCGTCTGTGCATGTGTGTGTGTGCGTGTGCGTCTGTGTGTGTGTGTGTGTGTGTGTCTGTCTGTCTGTCTGTTTGCGTGTGTGTGAGTGCGTGTGTGTGTGCGTGTGTGTGTGT